GCTGCTGCCTTGGGACCCCTTCCACTCCTCCTGCAGGGCAGGGGATCCTTGGGCTGCTGCCTTGGGACCCCTTCCACTCCTCCTGCAGGGCAGGGGATCCTTCCTTGTGCTGCTGCCTGCACTCAGCAGCCCCTCCAGGCAGGCACTTCCATGGGATTCCAGCCCTTGGTCCTCCCTGCACCCAAAGAGGGCCAGGTCACCCCAAATGCCCTTGAAGATTTCCTGGTTTCAGGAAGCAATGGTATCACTGGGATTTTAGGCACTTGCAGATCTGCATCTGCAGAAATTTATGGGTTAGGGGGAACTGGTCACCACTGCAGCCCAGCTGGCAATGTCCAAGCTCAGGAGCCGAGTTTGCACTGCCCATTCCCTGTGTGAGGGTCTGACACCCTGCACCACAGGGAATGCAGAAGACACAAAGCACTTCAGCCTACAGACACTACAAACATTTTTCCCTTGGGCCCAACAATGCTTTCCATCAGTGCCATGAACCCTCTGCACCAGGAGAAAACTTAACTTCAGGAAGAACAAGGACACACCTATGCCAGGGAATGCAGCACAGGTGCTGGGAGCTCAACAAGGTCCATCTATGCAGCACCATGAAAAGGAACTGCTCAGATCCTGCAAGGCTGCATTTGTACCTTTCCTTGGCTTAAAAACTTTATAACACAGACTCTTACAGACAGCATTCAAGCCAGAGATGGGTTTTTGCCCAGCAGGGCTGTGTCAGCTGTGGGATGCCTGCTGCTGTCCCAGCCAGGGCTCCCAGACTGGCTGTAGCCTCGAGCCCCAAAGCCTCACCCCAGATTTGTGGAGCCTGGGTGACAGCAGATCCAGCCCTGCAAGCTGTCAGAGCAGCAGCTGGGTGCTGGGATGGAAATCAAGCTGCAGCCTGTTCTGTGCTGCTCCTGTATAAATGTGCTGGGTGTTTTACACACACTCCAGAGAGCAGGAATGCCTGTGCTTAGCAGAATCCAGTGCTGCAGTTCACATTTGATCGTCCCCAGTGCCTTGGAGAACAATTACTACACAACACTCTTGGTAGCAGTAAGAAGAACTTTAAATAAAGAACCTTTTTCCCCCCTGTGCTGTGTAATGCTCCCCCTGGTGCATTTAGGAATGTGAATTATTTACCAGATCATAAACCAAGTTGGTCACCCAGTAGGTTGTCATCCCAATGCCTGAAATGTGCTGCAGCTGCTTGGCTTTGGTTTGGTGCTCCTTGACCATGTAGAGCACAAAGCTTGCTGTGGTGATGGAGTAGCCAACCAAAACAGACATGGACACTATGATGTCCAGTAAACTGTTGAGCCTGGGAAAAAAGGGGACAAAGATGCATTTGGTGAGTGAAAGTGGTAGATTTCCCTCACTGTGAGGCTTGGTTAGAGTTTAGAAGCAATAAGGTCCTGATTCTGGGACAGCATCTTTTATAATCCTGGAATGGTCTGGGGCTGGAAGGGATCTCAAAGCCCATCCCATTCCACATCCTGCCATGGGCAGGGACACCTCCCACTATCCCAGGTTGCTCCAAGCCCTGTTCAGCCTTGCCTTGGACACTTCCAGAGATGGCCTCACCACCCTCACAGAGGAGAATTTCTTGCTTTCTTTGCTCCCTTTGCTGATGGTAATTATCAAAGTAATGATTTCCCAAAGGGACTCACAGAACTGAGCTGCACTGTTGGACCCCAGCATGGAGTGGAAGGGCCAAAAGGAAAATGATGCCATTACTATTATTACTACTACTAGTAGTATTATTATGCCCACAAATGTGTGAGACTGTAACTGTGACTTCTAGGTCTCCATGAGATCCTACCAAAAACCCCCACAGGAATCCCCAGCTCTCGTGGCAAGCAGGACAATATTCATATATAGGGGGAATGAACTCAAGTGAGGACAGTTTCATCACTTAGAGAAAGATATCCAGTAATTTAGGCTGGTTTATGGTTTGCAATAAGCTGGTTTGCTCCATTTAAAGCTAAAAAATTCAGGCATCAGCCAAATGAATCTTCTTACATTACTTGTTCTTGACTCTGTCCTCCAGGATATGGGTGAGCTGATAGGAAAATACCTATGGGAAAAAAAAATTGAAAATGTATCCAAATTAAAGCTTCCTTCACCAGCTCCTGATATTGACATAGAAATAACATAGAAAACTGAGAGAAAAGAGAAGAAAAGCAGATCAAAAGTGTGTTTCTTCTCTGTCATCTCTGTGTGATCTTGGGCAGAATTTTGAGCATCCTCCTTTTTCGTAGGCCTTCACTTGGCTGCACAGCAGATCTGAAATTCAAACCCTTGGCCCTGTTCCTACACCTACCTGGCTGCCAGCACCATTCCCATCCCACACCCCAAATCAGGCAAGGGCCTGTAGGACTGTGCATTCCAGCTGAGATCTCTCACTACTGACACCTTCCAAGTGATCAATGTTCTGTTTCAAAGCTGCAGTTTGGTGATCCCACCTCGTTCCATTTGGTTTTTTTTCACCAGGAACAAATCTTTCCCTGCTGCCCTCCTCCTCAGCTGCTACCTGCCTGTGATGGATGTCTGTCCATATGGGATCTGTGGAGGTCAGAGCAGAAACCCAGGTAAGCTACAGACACCTTCTGCCCCCAGTGTGGCAGTGAGTTCATTGTGAACTATTCTGTCTTAAAAAGCTAGGGAAAAAAAATTAAAAAGAGTATTTTGATCAAAGTTACTAGCAAAAGTCTAATTATCACACTGCTAAGTCCCCTGTGATGTTTAAAAAAAAAAAAAAAAAATCCATTAAAAATGGGTTTGTATCAGGCCCAAACTGCAACTGAGAACTTCTCTGCTTATGTGCAGGTGTCTTCAGAGGAGGTTTAAGTACTCCTTCTCCAAAATGAGCACCTAGCCCACAGTTCACCACAGTGCTTTTGCCATACCTGGAGGCAATTTGTGCCCACAAAAGCAAAAGGAAGAGCACAGAGGGGCTCTGCTGGGCCACTTCCAACCTCCAGTGCAGGTCTCTGCCTTGGCCCCACCCAGGATGACTCCAGAGCCTGAGAAAGGGTTCCCATGTTTATGTGCCTAAAAATGAGGTTCTCAGTTCATATTTTGACACTTAAGAAAATGCCTCAGGGAGTGCTGGGGGACCTCCAGCTGCTCTTAAATCCAGAGATTTTCTATACCATGCCACCTATGGAATTTAAACTTCTTACAGCCAGATGGCAGACCTTAAGAATGATGTGATGAAGAATTATTCTGGGTAATTTTCCCTAAGAATGGGCACTCTGACAGGGGGACCAGAAGGGAGGAACCTGAGGGTTTAGCTGACCAAATGTCATACTGAACAAATGAATTTGGAAGGGAGGATTTAATCAGAAATTAATTTTGGAGGAAAAAAAAGCCCAACCAAACCTCAGTCTTGTCATCAGTGAGAGAAATGGGATTAAAATCTTGGACTGCTGATAAAGCTATACAAACAGCCAGGAGATGTTTCCCTTCTCCAAAAGGGAGAGAGAGAAAGAAAGATACCGTCTGTCTAATCTGTTAATACCTCACTATAAAGCCATTTTCCTTTACTGGAGCTCAGGCTAGAAGTCAAAATTTCCATTTCAATGCATCTTCCTTTTTTGTTAGCTGGGATTGAGAGAAGACAAAGCACAATATATAGAAGTCAAAAGCTATTATGACTTGCTTAGTGACAGGGTAAAAAGCTTTTTATGTTTTTTTTGTTTTTTTTTTTTTAATATACCCAGTCTAAGTCAAACCTCTAAAGCAGGACTGGCACCTCTTTCTGACTGCTGAAGTGACAACACACTTTTATCTGGCCATTTCAATGGTTCTTAAACCATCATTTATTTGTCACAAAAACAACTCGATTGAGCTGCCAGGAGCGCACCCCACGGAATGTGCCTTCAGTTGTATTTCAGACTGGATTTACTCCACCTCAGGGGAACCAGCCTCATCCACTCATTTCTCCCCTTCTCTGGCTTGGATGATTAGTGGGAAGCAGAGAATTGTCTGTCTGGTCATTTGCTACTTAGCATTTCTTTCTAAAAACATGTAAGCAGAGGAACAGATGGAATAAAAACTGCTGCTATTCTTTCCCCCAGAAAATTGCTATATTGATGGTATAAAACTTACCCTGTGAAAACTTTCTGGCTGTTCACAAGAGCTTCCTGCCTTTGCTCTTGCTACAGCATGTGTTGGGAATAGAGAGACAGAGCAGGGAGCTTCACTGCTTAATAATTCAGCTGCTCTGGGATGTTCCTGCTGCTGGAAGCACCTGGCTGGGGTCTCCTCTCTGGGCAGCTGTGATGTGTGAGCTGAGGGCACACTGCAAACCCCAGAGGGGACAGCCAGGCCCTGTTTGAGGGGTGGCCAGGACAAGGCTCTGGTGTCACTCCCTGTGAGCTGAGCTGGCTGGGAGGGGAGTCTTGGTGCAGTGGAGTGAGCTGGGAAGCAGCACAGACTGGGGCCACTTGTGATCAGCATCTGCTGCTGCTGGAATTCAGGGTGTCACACTCAAAGCTTCAGGCCAGATGCGTGGTTCCATTATAGCTCAATTCAGACACGTCCTGTGAGCCAAGAGACCTGCCACCTGTCCCTGTGTCACCAGGGACAGCAGCCCTCTGAGATGAGCAGGGCCTGGCCAGGACATGGCTGGAGGGGCACTGCTGGTCCAAGAAAGTCAGTCAGGAGGGTTTTTGTGTTTCTGCACACAATTGCTGCTCTTGGTAGAGCAGAGCCCAGACATCTCTGTGTAAGACTTCTCAAGATAAATCTCTCTATCGTCTCTGCACCCTGGCCCTCTCTGGAAGCAGACACACCTGCAGACACCTTTGTGCCCACACTGCACTTTGAAAGAGGCTAAACTGCAAAGGGAAGGGTGCCCTGGTTTACCAGCAGGAATTTGGGTTGCTGCAGTGTGTTATGGAGGAGAAGCTATAAGGACACCGAATGGGCCATCAGAACCCTTAGATCTGTGTATGTCAGGTGTCAGAGCAGAAATACAGCTGAAAATTATGTTTCTCACTTAATCCTGCCCTTCCCACTCTCACTCAAACCCAGGCACACAGATGCCCACACACCCTGGGCTGCTCTCAGCAGAAGGGTGACATATTCAAATTTCCTAATCTAACCCACCCCTAGATGACCTAGCAGAGCTTTTCTCTGCATAACTAATGGGCACCTATCAAGAGCCAGCCCTTGCAGTACCAGGAGAGGCAATAAATCAATCAGCAACTGCTGGCATTTCTCATTTTACGTAGGAGCTGGGGTCCTCCCTGTCCAGCTCCCCTGAGCCTCTGACTAAGACAAATGAACTTTGTGATTTATTCATGCTTTTCAATTCTGTTTTGAAAGGAATTGCAGAACAGTGAATAAAGAAAAGGCCTCACTGAAATGAAGGTAAGTGTTGTCATTGATTTCAGCAGAACCAGGATATCCCTCCAAAGGGGAGAAGTAAAGGGACACTTACCATATCTGGAAGTCTCATTTTTTGGCAAGTTGGCTCGAAGAATGAAGTTGTTCAAGCTGTTGAGATAAGCTGGGAGGCTGTGATAACCCTCAGGATTGTACCACACCTGTACACAATTGAGAAATTGAAACAATTTGGGAGTTATTGCTGACAACGTGTTTGTCCTGTTTCACTTGTACAAACTACCTCACATTTTAGCCCTGCTGCTTTACAACATTTTCATTGAGCTGAACCAGAGAAATTGGCATATCAGAATGTGCCAGCCAGTCCTTGTTATAGTACATACATCCCCTCATGAGATAAAGGTGCTACTAATTGATCTTTTCACCTCTGTATAATAAAATTATGACAGCAGAAAAATTGCCTCCTGCTAGCAAGAGAAATGAGACCAATAAAGAAGAATGGGGAGAGAAAAGAAAATGAACTACAAGTATCTTTGTCATGCCAAGCTGCAGATTTCAGAGGGTTTTGCTTTTTTATTTGGAATATCCATGAACTTGACATAGTTTCTCCTGAATCCCCCACTTCCCACACCAGGATGAGCAGGTAGAGGTTGGTTACCTTAGTCAGTGTTCTGTTGGGGGGCACTGGCTTGATGTCAAACTGCAGATCTGCTGTCAAAGGCAGCCCGAAGCTCCAGCCACCATACCTGAGTGAAAACCAGAGGGAAATGCATTGCTGCCCTCATCCCAAAGCTCTGATTCCCTCAGATGGGCCATGCCAATGTGCCACTGCCCCCCCAGGCAATTCCAGCCTGACTTCAGAGAGCTTATTCCAGTATGGGGCCAAGCCACCTCTCCCCTGGGAGCTTTTCTTTGGGGGGAAAACCCCAGAAGCTTGGCAACCGTGTCACAAAACTGCTGAAAGCCTCTGTTTGAGGAAGACCCTGGAGCCCAGTGGACTCCTGAGCTGTGCCTGCCACTCCGGGGTGAGATGCTGCTTCTGACTGTGGAGATGAGCAGCTCAGTTTATCAGTGGCAGATGGACACATCTCCTGCCAGCCTTAGTGGCAGGTGACCTCTGCCCCAAGCCCTGCTGTGCAGCTGCCTGGCAGAGCCCAGACCCACCCCACAGCACAAGGAAACGCTCAGGCCCTGCTCTCACTGGAATGGATGCATTCCTCCAAGTGAAGCACACACAGAGACTTCAGAGAGTCAAATCTGGAGGAAAATCTCTCCCCAGGGTTTACTTCATGACAGGCTGTGTCAGATTTTCCTCTTTTTAAAGATTTGAGTCAGACAAAGGCTTGGCTGTAGATCCAGCCCCAATGTGCCAGGTGATTGACATGTTATCCCCAGGCTATGATCTGTTTTATCAAGCAGAGCACTTGCAGGAGCCTTTATCTTTTATCCATGATTGCAGGACACTTCAGCTCCTTTCACCAGATTCTAAACCCCTGCCAGAGCACTGCCAGCTCTTCAGGCAGAGGGGATGTGAGAGGTGTGGGATGTCCTGCCTTGCTCCCAGTGGCACTCAGCAGAGAGGAGGGGTTTGTGCTGTACCGTTTCTGCAGGAAGTCTCTGGTGGTTGCCAGGATGTAGGTCTCCACATTGTGCCCTGTCAGGTTGTAAAGTGTCCGTGTGGAGAAGGTCCTCCTGTGAGGGGGAGTGTAGTTTGTCTGTGGACACGTCTGAGGAGAGACAAACAAAGGAAAACTTTAGTGTTTGTGTTTTAACTAAAAACCACCACATTAGGACAAGATTGAGAGCTTGCCATGGCAGCAGTCTGGTGCTGAGCCCCATTCCTGCAGAGGCTGCTCCTTCCCAAGCCAGGGTGCACAGACACACAGCAGACATCACTGTACATGGTCCCAAACACATCCAGGGACATGCTTAAAAACAACCTCTGCTTAAATCTACCCTTCAGTTCCCCTGGCATCAGTGGGACCTTGAAATGTGCTTCATGCTATGTAGGAAGATTTTGACTGAATTAAGGCTGATCCTACTTAGCAGAGTGACTGCACAGACAACTGCAAAGGGCAAAACAACTCTCAGAGCAGAAAACTCTGTGGTGGCCTCAAACTCTCATATTCCATTTCTCAGCAGCTACACTCTACATTTCTGCTTTACTGTCAGTCATAGAAATGTTTTCCTGGGCTTCAGAGAAACCTTGAATTAGTCCTGAATATGTAATTTAACATGCTGAGGGCCAGTCACATCAGTGTTTCATGAGGTTGAAGTGTCCTCCCAGACAGCATGTTGGCTTCTTCCTTCAGCCCATCCATAACAAAAGACCTGGACTCCCCCATTGTGCATCTGTTCATCTGAATACACAAAGTAGCTTCCTCCATGCTGAGGAACACCTGCCTGTGCCTGCTAGAGGTGAGAATCAGCTTTGAACATTATCCAAACTTGCTGGAGAAATTATGCCAATACTTTTAATGATGGGAAATTAAATGCATCTCCAAAAAACTGCACAAAATAGCTGTGTTTTAAAGAACGACTAGAAACGTTCAGCTAGAGTACATTCTTTAAGTTAAAAGGCATCACATTGTGCCATCAGTTTATTTGCTATGGCAAAAACTGAGGACAGGTGAGCAGCACTGGAGGGAGGAGAGCTCAACCCCAAACTAAACTGTAAAACACCCTTGGGGCAGACTCTGCCTTTTCTCCATGTGCAGGCAAATCCCACCAGCACCCATATCTGGCTCTGTAGGTACCACTGTAATGCAAATAATTAGTATTATTAATCATTAATATTTAGAACAAAGAACAGATCTAGACTTTGCATAAATTTAAATTCTGAAGAGCAAGCAGCAAAAGTAGCTGTGTTTTTATGTAGTGCTTGTCTAAGATGAAATCTTCCTCCTGAACGCATGTTCACCTCTGTCAAAAGGGACAATCATACAACATTCAAGAACACCATTAAACCTTTTCCCACCATGGGAAGCAAGGCAGGGATGTTAGGGTGTGATTCTTCTGAGAATGCTGTTTCCTTTCCTGTCCCCAGACTGCTGCAGACAGTGGCTATCCAGTGTGCAAATTGAACAAGGCCAAAGAGAGACAAGAGGACTTGGAATGCTGAGTCCCCCTTAGCATCATGTCAGCCCATAAAACCACTCCCAACAAACAAGGCAGGCCCCCAATTATCCCCCAAGGCTCCTCACTTTTGTATCTATCCAAATTACCTGGATGCCATCTGTGCAGTTGCAGGCAGAATACTTAGTTCTCTGGTTTCCACTGGTAATCCACTGGCCAAGCATGTCCTCTGTTAGACACTGCCTGAAAAGGAACACATTTTCCTCTGAGGCTCTCTAGGCTCAGGTGTGCAAATGAAGCTAATTGCTGTCATGTTTAATGACAGCAAGGCTGGCAGTTGGGCAGCTCCAGCAAAAAAGCAGAGCTTCTTGTCAGCTCTGCGTGGTTCAGGGAATCCCCAGCCTCCTGCTGCTTCCTGTGCCCCTTGGCAGAGAGCCCTCCCTGCTGCTCCCTGTGCCTGGATTTGCTCAGCTATCAGATGGAATCCAGGCACCACTTCATTCCTACAGTAGACAGTGCAAGGAATTGTCACTCAGAGGCCAAAAGCATCTGAAACCTACCCAGAAATAAGGGCTGTTGTGGCAATCCCTGGGCACTCCTGTGATGGGCTGTGTTGCCTGGGTAGTCACTGCAAACACCCAGGGTAAATATTTGCCTGCATGAGCGTTCATGTCTGCCCAGGACTTTACCATCCTGAGAATTTATCTGCAAAGCCCAAAACAAACCAAGCCTCATGGCACAGCTCCTAGATAGAGGTAACAAACACCATGCTGAGGACTTGCTGTGTGGGCTCACGTTATAATTGGAATTATTGAGGCGGCAAGGACCTCTTCCCAGAGAGGAGAATTGCTTGTTTTCATCCTGGCATCCTGCCATCACCAAAGCTGCTTCCTTATCACTCCTAATAATGCAGGAGTCCAATCCATGAGAGTTCTGCTGATGATCAAAGATGGTTATTAAGGTCTAATGGCTAATAGTGTCATGCCAATTCTCTTGCAGGTTTGGAGTTTAAGTGGAAAAAACCCCAAGAACTACTTACGAATTGCTTTCGTTCATGCACGTGTTATCTGTCCCAGGGAAAGCCAGCATCGAAGAAACTAAAGCAGCTGTGGTTTCATTAAAATTCCTAAGAATTAACAAAGAAAAACAGAAAACAGGAGAAGGTTCAAAGAATTTCCACTACTACTGTGCAGAGGAAAACTGTGTTTGAATGAAACAGGATTTAAGATGTTGAATAATTGAGTATTTGTGGAAGCAGCGCTGAAGGACATGCAGTACGTGAGGACAGTCACACAGGTTTAAAAGGAGCCCTCATCACCTCAGCTACTCCAGAGATTTGCTGCCTCTAGATCCAAGCAAGATACTTTTGGACAATCAAGTTTCTCTTTATGGGGAGAAAAATCTACTGCAATTTCCAGGAACTGCTTGCAGCCCTGTCTCAATCAGATTCCTCATCCGTGACATCCACTTGGTTTTGACCATTCAAGAAGATTGTCCTTGGTTCTGCCCCAGCTCTCTGGCAATGATCCAAAAGGAAAAGCAGGGAACATTAGGAAGAGAGGACTCAGACATGCAGCTCTGGCTCATTCCCCCATCCAGAAGGACTGAAGTGGAAAGGTATGAGGAATCCTGGGAAGTACATCTAGAGCAGATGACCTTAGAGCTAAATTTTGTATTTCTGACTTAGAGCTGAGAATTGTGGAGAAAAAAAGAGGTTCACAACATGAAAATCAAATGACACCAACTACAGTTGTTTTGGTAACAGGATTTTTAAGGAGAATGAAATTATTCAGTGGTGGCATCCTAACAACCCTGGAAAAGCACAAGCTCTTCCAATTGCTTGTGTGCCCTGGACCAGCATGGCCTGGCCAGGAAAGCACATCCTGTGCTGACAGAGAGGAGGGAAATGCTCACAGGATGGCTAGAATTTGATCCCAGAATTGCAATACTGGAGTCAATTGATATGAGTACCTCATTTCACACTGGGGAAGGAGAATATATGTATACATTAAGAAAATCCCTATGGCTGCTATGGGGCTGAAGGACTCCAATGGGAAACACCAAGAACATTCCTCAGACATTTCATAGTTAAATCCAACTGAGAGGTGGTTTTTCTGAAGTTTTCTGGTCTGAGCCAAGCCATCTCCTCAGAGATCCCTTGGGAACAGGGTTTCTCTGTGTTGTCTGCACAACATAACTACATGTCCTATGTCTAGGACACTGGCTGTGCTCAGAAATAACCCTGAAGGGTTATGAATTGATGCCTCAGGTTTTAGCTTTTATATTTTTCAGATTCTGTGCTGCTTTAGTGTGTACTTCTGAGCTTCGTATTAGGGGATGGTGAGCTCGCTTCACAGAGTAGGGAGACAAAACAATTCCTTTTCTAGCAGGGGACCAAGGACAAATGATCCAAATCCCAGGCCCAAGAGCACAAACAATGGCAGAATGGGGAGAGAAAAACAAGGAGAATGGGACTTCATAACCTAAAGCTATAATTGGACAATTAACTCCAATATGCAAATGGAGATGAACTTATAAAAGTGAAAGACCCCGTGACCGGTCTCCATTTTGTGACCATTTTGGGTTCAGCTGGGGCGCAGCCCTGGCTGGGCTCTTGTGCTGCCCAACATGGATCCATTGAGGCTTTTTCATAAATCCTTGCTTTATTCTTTAACTCTGTCTAGTTTCTGTTCTGGGTCAGCCTTCTCAAGGCATCTCTGGGTCCTGAGGAGCAGCACTCACCCAAAGAAGTCTGCCTGGTCGGCCGTGCCATACAGGGAGGGGGACAGCAGCAGCTCGGGGTACTCGGTCTCCTTGGTCCTCAGTGTCCCCAGGCCCATGGCAGCCATCACGAAGAGCACGGGGAGGATGACCTGGGCGATGAAGCCGCGGACGTCCCGGCGGGTGTGGTGGAACCTCTTGATGAACAGGGCTGAGGTTCTCTTCAGCAGCAGCGGCAAACCCCGCAGGCTCTTGGACCTGATCAGGAGCTGGTCTGGGCACAAAGGACGGCATTTGGTCACGGCTCAGCATTTATGCTATGATGGTTAAGGAGCACTCTGGGATGGTATTTTGCTTCCTGCACACATTTACAAGATGGCAAATCCAAACTACTAAGGTGGAGCAAACACAGGACCAGGAGTGGGACAGCATTCCAGTCATAAGCTCATGGAACATCAGTATTTTGTTAAATTTCAATGTGTACGTGTAGTGACCTTCAGCATGACACCTTGCAAGAGGAACACAGGCTTCCATCATTCCTTCCTACATCCCTCCTACCCAGCTGCAATTTACAGGGGAAACATATTTTTCTTTTAGATTTGCAAGCTGAAATTTTTCGTAATTTAAAAAGCAATTCCTCAGAAAAATAAACAACAGAATTAATCCTGAAATAAGAAAACAAGCACAAGCCTCTGGGCCTCTTGCATGGACAGGTTTTGTAGTATACTAAAAGCAGAGCCAAATCCTGTGCCACCTATTCTTCTTTATGAAATATTAACCTGTATAATACACCATGAAGCAAATCCTTTTCAGCCTTTTTTAAGGGTGCAACAAAACACTTTTCTACATGAGTGACTGTTTACAGTAACATTTACAGTGCAGGTCAGCTTTGAGAAGTACAAAAATACCTCTATGTTGTCCCTTGGATATTTATAAGTACAAAACAGTGTAAGCATTGCAGCCAGGTATGTCTCATTTTTGGGCTGGGCCATCTTTAGGAGGTCTCAATCCTCCAGAGATAGTGGTGTAGCTTGGCTCTTTTCTGAATTTACCCCACTGTCTGCTCCCTTGGGCTGCTTTACCAAACTGCAGTGTCTGGGGCACATCAAAAAGCATCAAGGAGGACCCAGCTCAGAGCTGTGCTGCTTTTCCAAGAAGCTAAGGGATTTCCATGAAGTTTCTTTCCAATTCTACTAGCTATGGGGAAATAATCCTCTAACATCTATTATGACAATTACTTTCAGAGGTACACATTTGCTTTTTCACCCACATGCTGCATTTGATTAAATTAAAACCTGGATCAATTTAAAGGAAGGCAGATGCAAACAAAACCCCTTCAGTAATTTATCCTGTGATTCAGACTATTCCAAAGCAAGGGATCTAAAGGACTGATGAGTGCTGCATTTCCAGTGATTTATAGGGTTTGTGATTCCTGGCTGGGTGAAATGTGGTTTTCAACAAAGAAAGAAGTCAGGGAACTCTAATCAGTCCATCTGTCAGTGTTTGCATCTGCAGTAAATCTGGAAGAAAGCCTGTAGGTGATTGAGTACCGTCTCTTTCTGTGAAGGTGTCTGTGCTCAGAGACATTTCGTCACCACCAGTGTGACCACTGACTCCAGGCAGCTGATGGGGCAGTGCAACATCTTCTTGATGGTCCTTCACTAGCTCTTTTGTCAGATTGAGGAACACCTATGGAGCAAGAAAATATAAAGGAAAATTTTTCCAAATGACTCCATTTACTAAAACACTTACCAGAATCCACTCTCCTGCTTTGTAGCTATAGTTGGTGCAGCAGTTATGTACTACAATCCTCTTTCTACTCCCTTTGTGCTCCGTGAGAGAAATTAACTTTTTTTCCATGTAAGCTTGTTATCCAACCCCTTTTCACCTCCTGTCTCTGTTCTGCTGCAGCAGTGGAAACTCAAACCTGTTTCCCTGCGATATTCACCCTCTAGCTCCTGACAAACCCACTGCCTCCATGCCAGGAGTGTGCAGTCATGGCACATGGGTCATGATGTACAACTGCACATGGCATATGATGTACAACTGATTCTTGATGCCTTAGGAAAACACCTTAAAAGAAAGCAAGAAATTCTGAGCAGGAAGGTAACAATCTCCCTCCCTCCCTTCTGCAAGACATGGGTCATCACTGCTCATCATTTACTTTTTATTTCTGATGCAATTAAATGTGTTTATTTGACCAGTGATTTCCCATGGACAGAAAGGTGCCTGTATTACTCTCTCCTCAGTCTTAACTTCAGTGCCTCATTTTCTGGATAAAACATGAAAAGGCTGTCAGCAAGGTGAGACAGTGCATTAGTATGTGTATAGATTTATAGATGCATCTACACACTCATGTGCACCTAAGTGTAACCCCCCTTCCTCCCTGCCTGAAACCCTCACGTAATTCTAACATGCCCAGAGAGCAGAGCCACACAGTGCTGTGAAATTAATCTCCATGACATTTCAGCAAATCCAGCAGCTCCTGAGCTTGTACCTCTTCTACAGTTGTGTTGGAAATCCCGTAGCAGCCCAGGTGAAGATCATTCAAGCTGGTGTCCAGGGCTCTGAGAAGGGCCTGGTAGGCCCCTGACACAGTGGACTTGAAAGGGGGAAGCACATACACGAGCTCTCCACCAATATCCTCCTTGAGATAAGCCTCTGGGAGATAGGACTGGATCAAGGAGGTCACTGCTGTGGTGTCACATTCCTCTATCATGTTCTGAAAAAAGAGGAAAACACTCCGTGGTCACTGAAAAGGTGGCAAGGTCAACCTTCCTCCGGCAGGACGTAGCCCAAATCCTCTCCCAGAGCACAACTGGTGATCTCAGCCCAGCTATCCATCATATCAGGGTAAATATCAAAAGCAGATGAAAGTGGGTTTCTGGCCCTTAAAAAAGGATGTGTGACAGTCTCCCATCTTGGTCCATCTAAAACCTCACCAGGTTGGTCTGAATCAACCACTTGCAGTGCTAGAGGTTTGTAGTACAACAGAGCTCTCTGGCCTGGCCAGCAGAGAGCTTAACGTGGCTGCCAGCACAAACTCACTCTTTTTCCCATGAAAAATGGGGCTTGATCATGGCTCTTTCTTCATTTTCTCTGACTCCAGTGCCAGCAGTCTGGAAGCAGGGCTGGTCTCTCAGGGTACCTGTCTGCTGGGGCTACCAACAGCACTCTAATAAATGCTAGCAAGAGCAGAGTTCCCCACTCCTTGCAAGCAGAACACATTGCCCCATGCCAGACACTATGGATGAGTTTTTTTCCCGCTTTATTCCTTTGAACTGCAGAGTTCACATTCTGCATCCTTGCCTTTAACCTTCAAGGAGACCTTGCTCTTTTTCAACAAAGCAGAGCCCTGACATCCCTGTTTTCACAAGGCCATAGAGATCACTTAGCTCCTGCTAATACATCCCTCAACCAGCCCTGGTGACTCCATTGGAGACAGAGCTGCCAGGAGCTCTAGGACCAGCTCAGACACAAACCTTCTTTTTGGTAAGGGTCAGGTGGTAGCCATCCCCAAAGGTTTCCTTGAGGTAGAAAGGTGAGCCACAACATTTGAGCCCTCCATGCTCTAGGAAAGCAATCCGGTCACTCAGAACTTCTGCTTCGTCCAGGTGATGTGTGGAGAGAATGATGGTTCTGCCTGGAAAACACAGTCACCACAGAATGAACACCTGGTTTTATGGCAAAACTGGATTTCAGAAGGATTTGGCTTATTTTCTTTCCTTCCTCAAAAACTTTTGTATTCTCCTACACAATGATATAATCAATATATTCGCAGGGGTTCCAGAGCTTCCCCTTGCTCTGGATCAGCCCATGGCAAGTAAGTCCACATTGTTAAACCAATACAGTGAATGTTTATAACAATTTTATTTTATCACATTCTGGTCAGATCTGTCCTTATCTCAACAGTGAGACAGGTGAAAGCCTCACTGAATGAGGGGGCATGGAGTATCAAGTGAAAATCAACTGCATTTTTTGAAATTATTAGTGAAATTGGATTAAAGGCAACAAGAGAGACAAATATTACAGTATTGTAAGCTGTGTTCTATGGTGAAGTTATTTTTTAAATGACACTGTGAATTTACAGAAACCAACCAGGATGCACCCTCCAGAATTGCAAAATCCCAGTCTCACAAAATTCTCTCTGGCCTCCAAAACCCACAATTCAAAGCCATTGGTACTGTCTTTGTAAAGTGACACAAATCACCTTTGTCTCTGGGCAACATCTCATCACATTACCATTCTTATTCTTGGAGATGATTTCCCAAATACTCCTCCGGGAGCACGGATCCACCCCTGTGGTTGGTTCATCCAGAATCACCACCCTGGATCCCCCCAGGAGAGCAATAGCTATGGATAACTTCCTCTTCATCCCCCCAGACAGGGTGCCAGCCAGCTTGTGACGATGGCTGTACAGCCCAGTCTCCTTCAAAGTCCTGGAAAACAAAGGGAAAACAACCCTCAAAAGTTGTAATTTAAGCATCTTTTCCAAGCAGGGAATTTCAAAATACCTGAAAAAACTGTAACTGGAAATGAAAACCTGCTCAAGTATGGACTGCTCTGCTGAGCAGTCGGTGTAGAGTCACTCTGCAGCTCAGTCATTGGGATTTTCATCTAAAACATTTTTGAGGATGTTTTCAAAGTTTTAATCTGACAAGTCAAGGTTAAAGGCTCAACCCCATCAACTGAAACACCAAGATCCAAACTCCCTGGGATGTCCTGGTTGCTTCATTTCTCCACAGAACCAATAAAGACAACATCATCTTTCTGACTGGTTGATTAAATCTCTTCCCAGGGTAAACTGTAAAGCAGCAAGGAGTAGACCCTTAGGCCTATAAATTCATCTCCAAATAATTGCCACAGCAGCCTGTAAACCCTTGGAGAAAAGATATTGTTTTCTTACAGTATAGGTATCAATACATTCCTCTAGTCAGAGCAAGGCACCATTTGAACCCTAAGCTGGAGCTGGAACAACACCTCTAATCCATGATTTTGAGCTTTGCAGGGGCACTGGCACCACCACATGACTATTTTGACAGCTTCTCTCCTTTCTCCTGCCCAGCTAATTTTATACCTCTTCACTTCTTGGTAGAGCTCTTGTTTGCTGCAGTGAGGGACTTTGATGTAGCCATAGAGAAGCAGGTGTTCCTTGGTGGTGAGGTAGTTGAAGAGCACGTCGTGCTGCATGCACACCCCCATGTTCTTCCTGATCACCTCCTGGTCAGTCCTGATGTCTTTGCCATACACAAAGATCGTGCCTGATGACGTAGGGAACAACCCAGTCAAAATAGATCTGAAGGAAAAATAAATAGAAAGAGCAAGTTAGAAAAAGGAGGAAGCCATGGGTAATTTTTTTCATGTGGCCTTGTAGCTATCACCACTTCCAAGGTTTCCTTGTATCCCCCTCCCACTCCTTCCAGCCAGACACCACTGCCCACTGTGAAAATAAGAAAATAAGCCAAATGTCCTGTGGCCCAGCCATGCTCTGGCAGAGCAGAGGCCAATTAACATCCATGGACATCCTTGTTCCCCCCTGTGGGATTGCAGGGGCAAGCTCAAAGCTCACCCTGGCTACTCCTCGCCTCTACTTCTACCTGCTGCAGCCTGCTTCTCCCTAGGTCAGACCACTGCATATCCCACACACTGAGGAATGCCCTTAACTTCCAGTTTAATTACTGGGAATTCAGAGAATGCAGTCACTCATTCTCTGGTTTGCCTGGAGTGCCCACACAGCCTCATACTGTAGCCACAGCTGAGACTGAGAACCACCTCTTTGACTAACCACAGCAGAGCATGGAGACCTGATCTCACTGCCATTATTCATGAGAAATGGGAGAGGACTTCTCAATGAGACGCCTCACAGTGGGCAGCACTTTCACCTACTTCAAGCAAATAATCACCCACCAAGCAGGTGCTGAGTCAAACTCCCTCTGCTCAGAATAACTACTTGCACATTACAGCTCAGTTTTGGTGCTCTCCTGCAGGGACTAAAGGGAGAGGATGCATCTCACACCGCCCTTCACCTTCACAAGAGTTTTCTCTCTCTCTTGGGACTTTTAACCATCATTTAAAAGCAGTAACTTGTGACCTTACTCAGGATTTGAAGCCTGTGCTAAGTTTCAGGCAGGTTTTATACTTTTCTGCATATCACCTTTGCTACACTTTGCAAACAGAATATGAGGTGAATTGATAATAAACTGAGGTGAAGCACACATCTGTCTTACTGACTTTGGTTCTTCTGAGGCTTCTATTTATCAGCTTAATGTTCCTTTCAGAGATATGCATATATATATCAATGGAGAAATCAAGTTCTACAGGTCTGTTTTAGTGCTGTTATCTAACAAGTCAAATAATAATTTATAAACAGCAAGACTGAAAGGCCAATGCATTAATCCCCTGCCATTCCAGCCCAGCCAACACATGAGTCTGTACAGCTGAAGTGTATCTTTATTAAGTTTTCTTGCTAGTATCACTTCAACTTCGGTGTGTGCATGAGCTCCCCACAGGCTTCCAGAACAACCTAACCCCAGGCCAAGGAACAAAACACCTGAACAGCTGCTGTGCTATGTATCCCAGGTATCTCAGCAGATTAAAAAACATGTTCCTAAGCAGGAAAGGACCTTTTAGAACCTAAAGAATTTTAACAGATGAAGGAAGTCCTGAGGTCATCCATGAGCAAGATAAAACTACATGAGGGATTTGGCCTGTGAAGCATCTTCCTCAGTCTCCCACTGCTGCACAGCCCTACTTGCCCTCTTGCTCACCCAACCACACTGCACAGGATAAAAAAGAGCTGCTTTAAAGGATACACACATGGTTGTAGTTTTCCCAGCTCCATTGTGTCCCAGCAGGGAAGTGATATTCCCTTCATAAAAGTTGAGGCTGAGGTTGTTCACTGCAGCTTTGGATCCATAAACCTTTGTTATGCCATGGAGGGAGACTCCCAAGGTGAGGTCGGTGGGCTCCGGTTCCACGTGAGGGTGGGGGGCACCTTTGACACCAAGAGAAGGGTCAGGGAGTTACTGCAGGGCAGCAGGTGTTGTGCTACTTTTCTCATCTCAGAGGAAGCCAAAATACAGCAAAGGCAAGTGCCTTTCAGCCAGGAATATTGAGAACATGTCACTGGATCTGTATGATTTTGAACTCTCTGGGATTTTACCTTTTTACTTCTGAAGCTTCTAATAACTCCTGACAACAGGCATTAATCACTTCTGAAAAGGTCTCATATTTAGGTGTTTCAGAGCACCTAAGTTTATTTATGCTAAACAAGCATAGAAATTAGAGGACATGAAGCAAAACTACAGAGTTATTTTCAGTTAGGTGGAACCAGCAAGCTTTTATGTGTGATCTCAATATTTTACAGGCTAAATATTTAAAGAGATAAGCAAAGAAGCACACGTGCCCTTTGCCAAGTAGAAACCTGTGCCAAGTAGAAACCTGTATTTGCATGCCCAAACAAAAGTGCATTTCTACACAGAGAGACAGGCATAGAAGGCAACTGCCCAACTACAACACACACGTATATGAGTGTGAAAATCAATACTGACTCTCCACAACAAATAGGAAGAACAAATATAATTTAAGGGCCAGATTTCCATTCATGTAAGTACCAGCTTTCAATTTTTCCCGTGCTTCAAAATAATAATCAATGGTGTTTTCTGAGTATGGTGCCCCTTTACAAATTTGGTTTTGTTTACCCAAAATATAAGTTATTATTGCTACCCCTTCTAGTATGCACATACATATCTTGTTGGGGAGGGTGACTTCTTTCCTTAACATCAGCTTGGAGAAGAGCAGGCCTCTTTGTTTCTCATTCCAGAAGGGCAGGTAGCTGTTGTATTCAATCCAGTAAGATGGAAGCAGTGGGAAGTACCAGGGAGCAGCCATGCCATATCTACCTGCAGGAACAGGAGTCTCGTTCAGCTATCTGTTCCTCAGGAAGTGCCACTGTTGGGGTGCACTCAAAATAGCAAAAATTAACTTTACAGAGATTTCTTGATAATGCTCATGCACTACCACGACTTGTTAAAGACTTTTTCTGATTGGCACAATAGGAAGCACTCACTAATTTGTTATTCTGAGTAACTCCATAGCTGGAGGGCAGGAGAACTTTACATTTTCCACTGGGTACATTTCCGTATGCCAGTGGACTGCTTCATTAGGTGGGAAGAAAAGCAAAAGACAAATGTACTGGCTCTTGCCCCAAGGCAAGAATTACTTTTTGAAACCAAATGATGTAAGTAACACAGCTCGAAATCACTCAGCTGACAAATGCAGTCTAAGATGCTCCACTCTCACCCACCAGACTGCAGTCACACCCTCCTGTGTCCTTGGCTTCAGCTTCTTCAGGAGACCCACCTACCCATGTGATAGGCTGAGAAACCCTAATTCTCCCATGCTCTGCTCTCTGTCAGTGCCATTTATAGGCTCAGACATCCACAAAGTCGTGCTCCCTTTGGTCTGGGACAGAGTGTGTGCACTGTCTCACTGCCTCAGCTAGCTCTGTGTTCACTGTTCTTCAAAAGAGATGCTAAAGCACCACCCTCAATGCTTTGCATCCTTACCTGGGAAAACATTCCTTATGTACCACCCCAGGATGAAGTAAATGAAGGAGTCTATCAGAATGAGCCAGCACATCCAGCCAAAGGAAGTGTTATCTCCAATCATTGGGGACTTGTACATGTTGTCCCACTGCAGTCCTGCAGAGAGGAATTGAGAAATACAATCAGAGCCCATCTCAGCCAGTGAAATACCACCCTCAGGAGAGCTCAAACCTGGCTTTGTCAGCCATAAACTCACCTATGCCCTGTGCCTCATAGCGAGCAATGTATTGACTTGCATAACTGAAGGCAGTTGGAGACAACAGACTCTGGGGAATAAACAAAATTGAAAACAAAAAACATTTGAATTAGTCTCAAAGAGAAGTCAGGTCAGTCAACCAATCAGGTTCCTCACTGGGTTATTCCAATAGCCAGAAAAATGAGTGTTGGATTTGTTTCTTTTCTCAGCAGTCACAAGGAGCACTGGACCAGGCCTGTGATGGGAAGTGTTACCTGGTGACAGGTTGAAATGTCTCCTTAAGGCTTGACTTTCTTTTGTTTCCATACCCAGGATGCAGTTTCCTTGCTCACACAGGGCTTTATTTTAGGCTTTTGAAATACAGCAGTGCTTCAGAATTACCTCATAGAGCCATATGGTTAATTCTTTTACCACTTGCATTAATAGATGTCATTCCCTGAATTTGGTGACGTGTCTGGTTCTGGAACCTAACACCTACCTACTCTGCCCCTTGGTAAGAAACAAGGCTTTAGATCTACTCCCATGTGTAGGAATTTGAGACACAGGAAGCCAGAGGATGATCTGAGGCAGCAATGAATAGAGCCAGCCCTGCTACCCAAACCCTTCACTGAGACAACCTACTTCTTCAGAGTGGGTGAAAGCACCCCATTTTCCTTTGCAATTCCAAAGGGGAAAGTACACAGCTCAAACTACTGTGATTCAGCTGGCAGGTGGGAACTCACTAAAATTCCACAAGGAGTGCCTTCAGTCAGGGGACACAGCTAATTCCAGGTGTCCCTCAAAAGGGCCATGGCCAACTCTCCTACCATGCTTGTCACCACCCACTGATGGAATTCAGAGAGGCACCCAACCCCCTTGCGTTTGGGTCACGAGGTACAATAAGAGTGTACCGCAGCGCAGTGAGGTCCCTGCCTCCACATAATCCCTGGGAATATGGAGAAGCAGAACTCACCAGGAGGCTCTTGACAGAGAAGCTCAAGTGGTTCTCGATGACGAGCAGCACGATGAAGGGGAAGAAGGTGAGGATGTACACCAGGCTGCCCACCAAGGCCGCGATGTTGGTGTTGTTGAAGAAAACACTGATGAAGTAGCTCATGGCTATGATGGACAGGCTGTAGTCCATCAGGTACAGGAAGAGGAGTGCTGTGTCTGTTTTGGGAAGGATCTGACCCACTTTCAGAACAACAATGAGGAAGGTGACAGTAATCAGGAGGAAGATGGCACACTCGATGAACCAGGCAATGAAATGGCTGCTGGCATTGACACCCATCATCTTCATGTACTGCAGAGAGGAAGATAAAAAAACCCATCACAAATGGCACTTGAGAGAAATGTTGAGATCTTTGTGCTGATATTGAATGATTTCTTTTTCCAGCTTCTGGACAGGGCCTGCAACCAGACCATGCTTGTTCTATCCAGGGACAAACCACACACTCCCATTTCAGGAATGCCCAAGGTTTGCAAAGCAGTCTGTTGGAAAAGAAACGCCCACACAAGACCTGCAAGGATCAAATGTCATGGCCCACAGGCTCCAAAGCAGCTTCTGGCCTTAGATTTGTAAGTTTTCTAAAGCCTTTTGGTTGTTTTATTAAAATAATGATAATTGATCCAGTGGCTTAAGACTAAAAGCTCTCAAATGTCTTTGGACCTTTCTCACACAACCCCAAGACAAAAAATAACAGCTAAATTACTATGGTTAGGAGGAAGATATATTAATTTATATCAGCTGATGATTTAATTCTCCATACTTGCATAAAACTGAAAATTTGTATTGATAAATCCAGAAGAACCTATAGGTGCTGGTGTCTTCTTGTGGATTATTACACAGGTAGAAAGATTAGTGATGCCCAGGTCCTTGGAGACAGTGAAAATCCTTGCCTAAATTAGAGTAGAGGGCTGCCAGGGAGCACACACTGGGGTTCATTCATTTTCCATCTCATCCTAGGTCAGAGTGTCCTTTCTTGGAAGTGTTTTGGGTGAATCAGTATTTGTTTCCATGGTGTTGGATAAAAAACCAATCTGCTCAAAGCTTTTGTTGCTTGCTGAAGCTTAGTTTGACAAAAGTTCTTTGCTGCTCATCTCTGTTGACAGTGATCACACTGAAAACCTGAGTTAATTTAATAAATTCCCAATGTCTCAATGTCATTTCTTTTCCAACAGGCAACCTGAATGAAGAACTTCATTTCAGAGGAGCTGATGTAATATGTAGCACCTTCTGAAATATTAAGTATAATAACTTCAAAGATAGGAAATAAGTCACTTTTCATGTCTTTGTCCCCAGTAGGTATGATTCAAAGTCAATTTTTAGAGACCTTTAAATCTTCAGAAACCCTGTAATTTTGTGAGGTGCCCATGTTTCCTGTGTTCAGCATTGCAAAGCAATATTCCCTTCACTTGAAGGGCAAACACCCTGCATTTCCATGGCTTTGAGCTTGGTTATAATGGCATAATTCACACACTGCAGGTCAAACAATAGGTATCTGGAATATTTTCCTTAATGCTTGTTTTGCTCCATTTAATATTGAACATCAGACACACTAACCACGAATAAGGAAAATCTGTTTATAATTCTGCACGCCCCAGAAAGTTTCCCCGTACCTCATAAAGCCTCAGATCTTTCTCCTGAACAAGTGTTTTAACAAAATCAGCTATAAACAGCACCCAGGCAGCCATCAGAGCAAATGGAAGAGAGTAGGTCACGCTGGTTAAGAACCTGTAAAAGGCAAAAGCAAGCTTTAGCTGAATACAAAATATTCTGGGGATTAAGGCTTTATACAAAAATATATTTTTTCAGAACAATACTCTGGCACAGGGAAAGACATACTTATATTTCAAAATGTGGAGTAAAATTAATAATTACAAAAAACAAAAAAGACTCCTTTGCCATTGCATTGGATTTTCAATTCATCAAACTCCTGACTGCTCAGAATATTTTTTTTTTTAATATTGCAGAGGGTTTTCCTTGCTTAGCAGCACCACTGGCAGGAGCAGAAAACACCATGGGCAGTGGCATCTCCTGGCTCTCTGATGGGCTGTAATCCATTTGGAAATACCACAGCAACGAGCCATAATTCCCAGTTCTGTTCACAGATATAATGGTCAAATTTCATGATCAGGCCAGATTTCCTGGTGTTGGAGTCTGGATGTGGGTGCTTTCCTACAGGTTGTCTGTCCTAGCACCCCACAGGTCAGGCAGACCCAGGACATGTTTCTTGGCTCCTCATTTTAGTTAAAACCTTCTCCCAGTGACAGATGTGTGAAGAAAAAAAAAACCAAAAACAACAAACCAAAAAAACAATGGCCAACAATAAATTTCTCCTTTTTACATGGAAAGCAAGTTTTTATAGCAGGGAATCCCCTTCACTGCAACTGCAGGGTTTATGTTTTCTAAACTTGACTTAAAACCCATAATCACTGTTATTCCTGGAATAATGTATATTATTCCAGGATAACAGCATATTAACAGTGAGAAATGAACACTACATTTGTTTTCAAACCTTTTTTTACCTGTAAAGCTGAAAATTTCCTATAAACCACCATTTTAGGAAATGCTTCCATGCAAATGAAGCCTTATTTATAAAGAACCAAGAAAGGCTCCTAAAAATTCAGCATAGCCCAACACCTTTTGTGTACTGGTTTATATATATATTTTTTTTTTCTCCCTGCTTTTCTCTCCAGGATGACAACTGTGCAATACCAATCAATAAGCAGGCATTTTGTGATGACCTCAGCTGGATGCAAATCCAAAGCCTTGAGGTATTTTAATAATTGAGCAAACACATCCCTCTGAACCTGGGCTGGGGAGAGAAATCCAAAGGCAAGTGATTTTCCCAGCAGCCCAAGAACAAAAAGGAGCAGACAGCACTGGAATCAGTGCTTCCAGCACTCACAAAACTCTCTCTCAGCCATAATCCAGGAATGTGCTGCAGAACTGGGTTTGGATGCTTCCTGCCTGTGTCCTGGGCACCCCACATGCTGCTGTCCTGAGGAGGTTTATAGGTGCTCAGCTCTCTTCAGTGACAGCTGACACAGGAGATGCACAGCCCTGCTGTGTCTCCTAAATGATATCTTATAGCTCCCACAAAAACTTTTGGCTCATGCACTTGGCATGGAGGTTTTTCAGTAGGAAAAGCTCCTAGGTCCAGCCTATCCCTTTGCTCCAAGGGAGACCCTCAGTCAGGGCACAGTGATCCTCACATCTATCAATACTTCTTGCTGAACATCCTCCAGTGCTCCCTGCGGGACACTGAAATCCCTTCCCTGTGAGTTTTCCACTCAGTTTGGCCACTGTAAAGCTCATAAACCTAGGTACCCTTTCACCCCCCCCCCCCCAGAAAAAAATCAGTTTTATAAGTTCTGCTGCATTGTCTGCATGTGAACACCTGCAGAACAAGGCAAGACTTGTATTTAACCCAAGTTCTGCCAACTCTCAACCCCACCGTGTGTAGTAAAATAGAGACAGGGAGTTTTACCTGCTGTAAAACCTAAAGTTACCACCACAATCCAGGTATAAAAAGAGCACAAAAACCAAAAAATAAGGCAAACAGACCATCTTAGGGTCAGTATTTCCCTCTTTTCTTCAGCGTCTTGAGAAGAAAACCCAATGGAACAGAATTAAATTATTTTTATGCTACGTGAGTATAGTATTAAGGAATGGTAAACTCCACCAGTCTGCCAAGATGAGTTGACACAAAACACGAAGGCAAAAGCCACCCAAACTTACATATCCTTGTTGTAGCAGGGGTAAGGCATGGCCTGGACCTGAACAGCTATTTCCTCTGGTTTCTTGCCAGTCTGCAGCTCAATAATGGCCCTTTCAATGCTGTCCTGGATGTAGATGAAGGCCCGGCTGTAAATCTGGCTCTGGGAGGTGGAGTTGTGCGGGCCCACAGTCCAGATGCGCTCCCGGATCCTGTTGGTGGTTTGAGTTATCCTGCTGCTCATTCGGATGGTGTAGTTGAGCACAGGAGGGAGGGACAGGCCCCCATGAACTGAGTGGCCAGCCCTTGAAGGCAGCTTGAAAATTATACCTGGGAAAACAAAGGGAAAAGGCTTTCCTTTGGAGTCGACAGCACACACAGACATGTAGGAACTCATTTTTACAAGGCTTCTTCACCAAAATTTTTCTATCCAGAACATTTTTCCTGATTATTCTATATATAAAACATATGATAGAATAGAGGATGAACAGAGAAGAAAACTGCTACTATGGGAAAGGACAAACATTACCAGGGTTTGGAGTTCCAAGAGAAGTTTCTACCTGCCCCTCAATTATGAAGTATAAAACCAAACAGGTCACAGGATTTATGAGAGAATCCTAATTGAGGGCTTTCTTTAAATATTAAGATGCATTAATGATACAAATGTAAGTTCCTATTTCCTGCTCCCTCCACCCCTCTCTGCAGTCTGATCCCACAATCCAATCCAATAAAAGTGAAAAGTGTGACTTGCAAGACCCAGTACACCATTACAGCACTTGGCTGGAATACCTCAAGTGATTTATGACCTTCTAATAAATTGAATTGTCTTATATTTGGGCTTGAAGATCTTAAAGGTCTTTCCAACCTGAATGATTCTGTGATACCTTTGTTGATTAAAGCACCTTTTTTTCTTGTGGCAGCTTGAAAGGAAATGGCTGCACAAAGATCACCTTGGGGCAGTGGGATTTTATTCAAACTGAGAATTAACCAAGAGAAATCACCAGCTGACAGACAGGGGAGGTGTAAGAGGAGATATGAAAAGGAGGTCTCTATGTGCAGGTCACACACACACTTGCTCCAAATCAACTGCAGTGTGGTGGGAGCTGTGACCACAACAGTTGCTGGTGAAAAGTCAAATATTTTATGCTGCATTCCCACACTCTATCAGGCGAAATTTAATTGTCAGGGGGATTTGGGACTGTCACATACTTGCAAACAGCTCATTCTTCAGGAAGAGCTCCTTGGCCACCGCTTCCATCTCGTCCAAGTCCTGCACTGGCCGGATGCGGTTGAAGGAGACGCAGGAGGACACATTCACAGCCAGGGCAGCCAAAGTGTTCAGCTGGTCGACAACGTCGGCATTGTTCTGCAATTCCAGCCGGATATCATCTAGGGAAAAACCCCACAAACAAACCTTCCAGCATCACTACACCCAGCAAAAAACCCACTCCATCATTCCACTCCTTCACGCTGACAGTGAGACCAGAAAGGAGGAAAGAAAACATACCAAAGCCCATCATGCTAAATATGAAGTGTGAAAGACATTTCTGCACTCAGCAATGCAATGAAGGCATGCTGTTGACCCAGTTTTTATGTTAATCATTTGTAATATGCTCGTGAGTTTGTCTTTGGGAGGATGCCAGCAATGGGATGTGACAGCCATCCCAAATCAGAAGTCCCCACTAACCTGCTGAGGCTTTAGACAAGCACATGGTGTTCACCATTCCTTCCACACCCTCTGGTTTAGGATGCAATCAACTCGCCTGTTGAGCTGCCGTGTCTCAGGGGAGGACATGCTTTATCCAAGCACATCAAGGCAGAGCTGTGTGCGCAGTGCTGATGTGTGGACTGAACCTGATGCTGCAGTTAATAAAGATGCTGCTGTTTGCTGGCAGGTTTCAAAGGTGGCTGCATAATGCAAGGTAACTAATATGGAACAGCTGCTGCAGGCATCGTGGCTTTATGGCGAGTTAAGGCAGGAGTTGTTGCTCATGAATAACACAGGGGTCATCACCAACTGGATGCAAATGACTGCAACAGACCATAATGACTCTTGGCTGCTGCTGGGCTTTGCTGGCACAGTCCAGATTTATGGTGACAAGCCTGGCCACTCACTGCAAAGGCAGGTAGGGACAGCAAGGCAAGGCAGGAAGGGACTGTGATCCCCACGCTGTGCACTCACAGGGGATGTACCACCACCTGTGTTGCTGGTGATTTCTCAGCAAATGGAGGGTCTTGCAGGGCCACCAGAGAACAGAAAATGGCAGCACAGCATCTCCTGCACTGATGACTCTGCCTCCATCAGCCTGGGTACATTTATCTGATCCCTGGCTTTTCTGCTCTGGAGAACTTTTCATCTGAGCCTCGCTGCGATGCAAGGGAGCTCTCCACATTTTCCAGCAGAGTCCCAGGTAGCTCATTTGAAGTCATAATTATGGCTAAACAGTGTCCTCCAGTGGCCACACACTGCGGCAGAGCCTCCCATCCCTCCACCCCTTAGCACCCAGGAGAAACATCTCTTCACACCAGCACTTTGCTCTCTAAGACTCTTTTCCTGCAAGATTTCTGGATCACAGCTGGGACTGCCTTGCCCTGGAGCCTCCAACATGGGCCAGAGAAGAGCAGACTAGGAGACGGCTGCAGCTGGCTGACTCTGGAGCTCCCAGACCCAAAGAACAAGTAAGGAAGAGGGCAGCACATCATGGACACACTTACCCAGTTCATTTATCTGACTCAGGAGCTCAGTTGCATCCAGATTCACCATCAGTTTGATAAAAACCTGCACAAAGGGATTCTGCAGGGCGTTCTATCAATAAGCAGAGAAAGACAAAGCATCAGTTTGACCAGAAGCTTCTTGAGCTCACTCACTGTGTAATTCTGAATTACAACACAGCAGCTGCCTTTGCTGGACATTTGTACAGCCATCTCCCTACTCCCTTCACTCTGAATCAGGGTGGGGAAATGCCAGCAATGAGAATGTCACAGAGAGCTCTCTGAGTCCCAGTCAGTCTTCTTTGAGTCAAGAAAGGATGCCTACTCAGTCTCCACCAGACACTAGAGTCCCATCAAAAAAATAATGGATAATTTTAGTTATTGTTGAAGTAAATTTCCCTTGGTCTGTTTTAAGTCCTGTGAACACAGCCAGTGCACAATGTATAGGCAACCAAAACTTAACTTGGAGATCAGTACAGGTTTTCAGGTTTGGTTGAATACTTCATTATTTCACCAATGACTGCAACCAGCAGAGAATATTTCATTTCACTTTTGCATATTCCACTCTGGATTTTCTCTTGGTGACGTGGAAATTAGAATGAATTCCAGCCCCTAAAATTAACTGCTAATGCTTTTGCATTCCAGGGATCTCATTTTTGCAAGAAAAGGAGACAATTTTTACTACAGAGAATGGGAAACAAGTGTATGTAACATTACAGTCCACTGCTTTCTGTATCCAAGCAAGGCTAGGCTTCTTAGGAGGGGGAAAAAGAAATTTTATTTACATCCATTGAGGTACAAAACATCTTCTAGCTCTTATGCGTGTACCCAGAACTACATGCTTATTATAGATACTGTTTCATTTTCTGAAAAAGTCATTTCTTGCCTGGTCTTGGCTGGCTGGATCACTCCATCAAGCAGAAAGTTAATTTACAAACTGAAGAGTGTTTCCTGCTCATCTTAGCCCTCCAGCAGGCCCCAGCATGGACAGGGTCAGGGAGCATATTACAAACAGTTCATTTGAGAAAGAGAATTTGCAGGGAAAGGTGAGTCAGGAGCATGTCTGTTAAGGGAACAGGCAGGCACAGAAACTGTGAAGTCCAGGACACCCTCAGAGGGGTGTCCCCAGCTGACTTAAGATGTCCCTGGAACCCCACTTTACTTCAGTGAATAAATCCATCCTCCCAGTTCCCTCCTGGCAAGAGACAGAGGGGAGGTAGGAAGTCATACCTTGATCATTGGAACTGTCTGGTTTAACTTAGTCAGAGAATTCATGATGACAGGAGACTGGTCCAGCCACTCCTGGGACTTCAGGGCTAACTCAGCCATCTGCTCCAGGGTTGCATTTGACTACAAAAGAAGCCCACAACATGAAAGGATTCATTTATTCATTACCTTACAGATTTTAACCAATAAATAAATCAATAAAACAGCAGAGACCAAATTTGTTTTCCTTAGGATTTTTCCTAGCATCCTCTTATGGTTTGGCAAAATGTCTTTTAACACACTGAATTTATGCAAGTACTATTATATTTATTTAGAGCATGTCTTGAATATCTGCTTTCCTTCAGCCTCTGGTCTCCCTGTGAACAAGCACTGGTTACAGCATTTGTTCTGGGAGACACATCTCTCCTACTGGCTGAAAATATGGGGATGAAACTTCATAAACTGAAGGCCTTAAACAATTGTCCTATAAATATTAGACCAATAGCAGCTTCTGGAGAGAAGATTCAACCAAAGACAAAAGATGACTCATAAGGCCAGCAAGGCAAATAGGGAAAGATAATTTGATTAATACTCCAAACAGTGAGAAACCAGCCCTCTGCTTCCCAGGGAAACAAGCCTGTGCTAGATAAATTACAGCCCTTTGGAGTAGGTGTATCCTGATGTCCTGGAACAGAGCCATACCTTTCCCATGATTGCTCGAGTTTCTGGGGTATCTGGTGTGAAAAGGATCTTCCCAAGCACCATTGGTTTTAAGAAAGACCAAATCAGAGCTCCAGTGGGGGTCTTGACCAGGTCCAGGTAAAAGGATAAGCAAAATGGGGCTGCAAGGGGAGAAAAGCAAACAAATTGCACAGAGAACAAACAGACCCGACACAAGAAAGCTACCAGTGTGTTTTTTCTCCCATCTGCCCAGTTTCTTGCTATGGCCAGTGAATGACTTCAGGGCCCTCTTCACTGACTGATCTAATGCATCTTGACAAAAGCAATCCACCCCCAAGATCTCCTGTTGCTGAACTCAAGACAACAAGAGTCTCGATGTTTGAGCCAGCATTATCTGCTTGAAGGTTAAATGGAGTTTTGTGAACTCAGAGGAGCTAATAATGTCAGTACAGTCAGAAAAACTACACATCAAGAAAAAGCAGTGACCTGTCGAGCCCTAGGACCAGATCATCAACAAATGGGAGACAGTGCAGTGTCAAGCACTGCTCTGCAGCACAGGCAATTTTCCCTTTGAACATTTATGGAAATAAACCACCAATAATTAGGGCAGTGCAGATCTTCAGCTACCATAAATAATGAGCACTTACAGCCCTCAAGAGACATATGGAGAATAGCTCAGCACTAGATCTGTCTGGAAATAGCAGAGTTCAGCTCCAAAATGTTTGTACCCTAGGGAAAAGCCAGACTTACTGGAATTCCGAGGAATCCCATATTTCCTCATCATCTTTTGGACATAGACATCCTCTGCATGAGAACTGTTGCTTACGGGGTCTCCAAAGTCTGGAAGCAAAGACTCAAAAAACAGGGGTGTGATCTCCTGGTTGCAGAGGACTTTTGACATGGATTTAAAAGTGCCATGTGTTATCCCGAAGTTGTTTGGTTTAAATAACGCCTGCAGAAAAGACAAAACACAAATAAACCCTGCACGCTGAAAGCACCCCACTTGGAGAGAAATAACAGAATGAGAAGGAAAGGACTGAACATTTTTATACTGCTTTCTTATGAGAGGTTTGCATTTACAAAAATAGGAACTTTCTATGGAAATCATGCAGGTTTTGGTTATGACAGTGGTGGCACATTTATTTCCAGGTAAGACAGCCAATGTGGGAAGTGCCTACAATGTGTGCAGAGAAATTCCCTATAATGTGTGCCTGGTGACATAAACACACCTGGTTATAACAGATTTGTCACATGGATATGCACATCACTGTCCCCATCTAGTCCATGGCTGCACGTGGCTCTGCAATGTGCAGGCAGAATGATGACCAGGCACAATTCCTGTCACTTGTGCTCTCCTGGACTATGGATCAGAGATGGATTGGGCACTGTGCCGGATGAAGGCAGTGCACCCTGGAGTTACTGCAGCTGTCAGAGCAGTAATGGGTTTGTACTGAATGTTTTGGGCAGTCTTGAGGCTTTGGTGTGATCTAATGCACACTAAAGCTAAGGCAGTTTTTTGCTGCTGACTTTGGTGGGTTTGCCTTTAGTGGACAGTTCTCTAGCTGTTTTCACCAGCTGATCCTTCCAGTACTTTGCTGGAAATCCTCTCTCCTTTAAGACATTCTTGCTCCAAGTGTTTCTTCCACAGCATATGTACCTCACTCATGAGCACATGATGGTCCCACTGCTCCAAATCAAAACTCTACTAGGAATGCAACACAGAATCACAGAATGGTTTGGGTTGGAAGAGACCCCAAAGCTCATCTCATTCCAACCTTCTGCCATGGGCAGGGACACCTCCCAGAAGCCTCATCCACCCTGGCTTTGAACACTTCCAGAGACAAGTTTGATAGAGCTTTTTCTTGGAACACTGTTGCTTTGAAACAGAATCTATGGTTTAATGCACTTGTGGCTTCTAGGGTAAGAAATTACTGTGGAAACCATTTCAGTGGCATTTTGCCTCAAAAGCAGATGCAGACTACACATACCTTAGTCAGTGGCATTTTCCTGGACTGTTGGAGCTTTTTCAGGGAATGAATAGCTTGTAGCAATGGATCAATGCCAGATTCAACCTGGTGTCTGAAATATTCCATTTTTGTCAGAAGGCCTAATATCTTGTCCATGGGTTTCTGAAGTTCCTTGGGGAAAAACATCTGCAAGAGGCAGGAAGGAAATCAATTATGATAAGCAGGAATCTGCATGCACAGGTTTGCACACACCCATATTGTGTTAACTCAAACATGAGCTCTGTGAGATTTTCAAAACTGCAAGGAGGCTTTACAGAGTGGGTGTCCCATGGGAGATGAATGGGATTTGTATTCCTAAATCCCCAAGCACTTTTGCAAACCATTCCCCTGAACATTACATAATCTAACAGTGTGTTTCCAAACACCTACGGTTGGGAAATATCTGTCATATACTGGCTGGGATATGATCAAATCTCTCATTTCACACAGCACAGGTGTCAAACACTATGAGTGACTTTTGACCTGAGCCCAAATTCATTGACATTATCATTTGACAACTTTTTTTTGCCCAGGATCACTCCTGTATTCTTAAATACAAACTTCTCTGTGAATGTTTTCTTAGATGCTGTTTCTATAGCTGGGGGGGTGGAAATTTGAATAATGTAGTAACTTTTTAGTTCCAAATAGATAGGGAAAAGATATTTTACAGGAATTTTTTCAGGGCTTCCTTTTTCAAGGATTCAAAAATTTTAGCTCAGTACTGTATTTTTGGGTCAGCTGGGAGTGTTCAAGAGGTTGTGACAGCACATAAAGGATAGTGGCAGACAGGGAGGCATTTAAAGTAGGTCCAGTGCCTTTAGATGAGGTTTGCTGCTTTACACCAGCTGGGATTCTCATTTATATCCATGCCTTCACAGCATGGATATGCAATAAAAATTGCTGCATGAGCAAAGCCTGATCTTTGGCTTGTGTAAATCAGTGTAGCTTCTGGCCACTGCAATGATATTTTATAACCTTTCAGCCACCGCGTGCAGTAAGGACTGTAGAAACCACTCTAAAAATCCAGCACTAACCTTGTATAAGAAATTGTAAATGTCCAAGTGTCTCAACAGGGTGACCCCAAGGAGGTAGGTCCTGCGAGTCCTCTCTGGCAGAGGGAGGCTGCACAGCTCCTGCACCACCACTTGCAGCTGTGGGTCCTCGGGATGGGCGCTGCAGGACTCCAGCTGCAGCACCTGAGAGAGGAGCTGGGTGTGCACAAAGGGAAAAGAGAATTGTTAGAGGTGCACTGCACGCTCCACCATGCCTGGATTAATCTTGCCTGGCTGTTGTTCTTTCCACAGTGTCATATTTCAACCACCCAAGAACCAGAAAATGCCTGCCCATTACTCCTGCTCCCAGGGACAAATCCTAAGGACTGTGTTTTACTACCCAGCTTGCACAGTAGTAAAAGCTTTTGTGGCTTCAATTTCTCATTGACTGATGCATGTGAAGTTTGGAAAAGAGCATGCTCCTTGGGGCCCAGTCCAGACAAGATGGCTGGGAAGGGGAAAAGCATCTGGAGCTCTGCTTGCAGGTGCAGAAGGCTGAGGAAGGAAAGCTCATCACTCATTTTGGGAGGGTATTTTTGGACCCTGACTGCTCTCACACATTGTGGTTATAAATGTACTTTTTCACCTGGACTGGGACAACTTCTCAGTGTCCAGGACCAACTGAAGACCCTGCTCAGCCCCCATTACTGTGTCCCAGAGAGTTGTGCCCTGCTCCAGGCAGTGCCTGGCTGACCTGGTGACAGCCAAAGGGATCATATGGCTCCCAGTCTCCAATGGCTGGGCTTACACCAGTGATACTCCTACTGCATTCCTGGTGGCTACCCCAGTCCACAGCATGCTCTGCTGTGGGGTCATCTGTGCTGTCACACACCCAGTGACCTGCTCAGCTGCATTCAGTAACAAATTATAGTTTTAATGGTCCAAGCAGTAGAAAACAACAAGACCTCCCAAAGGGATAATAGCAAACTTACCTGACTGCTGTTTTCTGGGAAAGATGCTTCCAGAAGAGCGTCAATGCTGGCTGTGGACATTCCTGTTGTGTTTCTGAGGTCCTCTTTGAGCTGATCCACATTTTTAAACACATCCCTCAACTTTTCTGGAATAACAATCAAAGAACAATTGATATTACAGCTTTCTCCAGACACACAACAAATCAAGCACATGGAGAAGACTTTATGTGAAGTATGGGAGTGTGGTACCTTACTGCTGATAAGAAAAAAGTCCAAAAAAACTTGGAACATACAGTCATTAGTTCCTATGCTTTACAGTCTGGTTTGTGGGCTAAAGTTATCAGGATATCTCAGGACAGCAAAATTTGCTCAGACGGAAAGACTTGGTGCTTTCTTTGTAAAGAAAACACTTTGCTTTCTTTACCAAGAAAGCACCAAGTGGTCTTGAGCAGGCTCTAGAAGTACCCCAGATACAGGACCCCAAGGTCATGGTGTATGGTTATTTCATTAATACCAATTCTACCGGGCAGCTAGGCAATTCTGGGATTTCCAGCAGAAAGTGTGGTATCAGTGGTGAAGTTTACCAACATTGTAAAGAAAATACAGAAGAGTACCTTGCTTGCTCAAGTTTGTTAAACTCTCAGTGATGTTCAACATGGAATTCAAAGTAGCCATATACTGAGGAATCTCTTGAAAGAAAGCAATTTCTGGTACATTTTCTTGAAGCCTGAATTGGAAAAACAAAACAACAAACAAAACTGAGAATACAAAAAGGAGGCAAGAAGTCATTTCATAAACAGAATACTAAAATAGTCTAGCTCAGAGGGAGAGCCTCACCACTTCAGCTGTGCCTGGATGTTTGTGGCATCCCCAATGAGTACATTTTGGAGTTCCTGGAAGATCCTCCTGTGACTTAGCACGTTGGTCACAAGCTGGCTGCTCAGCTCAGCAGCATGGAGGAGCTGCTCCTGAGTCTGGCCTTGCTCACACAGCTCCCCAAAGGGAACCTCAGGGAGGTGGCAGAGCTGCTGGATGGACTTAAAGCTCTCATAGTCACACAGAAGTGCTGTCAGATCCTGGAGGTGAGAGATCTTCAAAACACATTTTGAAAAAAGGAAGACAAATGCACAAACATCAGTGAGATGATAGAATTATAAAAGGCAAGCTTTAAAGAGTCTAGCTGTCCCTTTCTGTCTCTCCTTACGACTAGGATTTTTAAATATATATATATATTTAGTTCATTCAAAAGGTCTCCAGTAGAACAGCTTGTGACAATCATGGTGTGAACTTCTGGCAGACCTGGCTGGATCTAATAAACCTTGCAAACCTTAACATGTCATTTCCCCTGCCCAACACACTTAGACAGCAATACTCCATTTGACTTACCTGTTTACTAATTAATCTTCTTAGAGACCAAATAAATCTACCTTGCACAACAGGTTTAGCCTTTCAGCTAACACCTGGTCATCTACTGTAGCCCAGGAAAGGGACTTGGCCAGAATTCAGAGCTTCCCCATCTGCTGACCCATGTAAAATTATAGTCCTTTGCTATTATGGGCTTTCCTCTTGTCTGACATCATTATTTACATTATCAGGCTCTTATGGGAAGAATTATTTTCAGCTTCATGCCCTTAAGTACCTGTCACACTGAGGCTCATCATATTATTGTTACAGATATATTACACAGCAACAACATTGCATACTGCTGTATTTTTTAAAAGGACTTTTAAATGCTATTTCTCATATGGAGCAATAGACTAAAGTGCATGCATGCTATTAGTGCAGTCATGAATGCATGGGCTAAGAAGCATTTTATTCAAATGAGGCATTGCCAAACCCAAAGCTGGTGAGGGAACTCCATGAATCAATACTGATGCTTAATCTCAGAAGCCATTCTGCTGTTGTGAGACATCTGGGGGTAGAGGAGCATGCGGGGACTTGACTCCAGCCACGCTGGTGCTGGTGCAGCTCCTTAGGCACAGCAGTAACCCAGTTAGTCATGCTGCTAACTGCCAATTAGGAGTGCACAGTTCCACGGATTTTCAGCAGGGCAGAGGTATCTAATCCCTATCTGTGCCTCAGAGAACTCCTCCCTACCTCCTCCTCAAGTGAAGCTGAGGCATCCTAGAATGATCTCAGCTCTGTAAGGCGCTTCAGGAAGTCTCAATATACTGAATTTTAAAACTAATGGTGCACTGAGGAATATGCTGCCACTGGCCATCTCTGCAGGGCTCATCCTTCTGGGACAGCTGGTAGAAAACAGAGCCATCCTATCCAGCACATGGGAGGACAGGAACACCTCTACCTTCTCTGAAAAATGGGTGTACACCCATAGGGACAGATAAAAGAACAAGTTCCTCAACCCAGTTTACAGACGGCCTTCAAATATAGGCAGTAGGCAGAACACAGAGTTTCAGTCCTAGTTTTTATCAGCTGTTCTCTTAAGAAAACTTTTTTCCATATACTGTTTTTCAAGACTGTCATTGCATTCATGTATCACTGTGGGATGTCCTTCAAGTAACCATTTTAAGCAGACTCACTTTTAGCTTCAAGAGCTCTGGTATGGATGAATGTTTCTCAGAGGTATTATTTTGCATAAAAGAGTTCTTTTTCAGATGAGTTTGCTTCAAAAGCAGTGTGATGTTTTCTGTGCAGGGGAAAAAAACAATAGTTAATCCAGACAAAAATGCCAAAAACTTCACAGATGGGAATATGCACACTTTTATTCTGAGGCCAACTGAGTACTGCTATTTTCCAACAAACTCCCAAAGCTGAGGACCTCTGAAATCACAGAGCAAGGCCTAAATTGTAATCTGGGTTATAAGGGATTGAGTTCAAGTAGATGCTCCGTTCCTAGTGAAATCCACCCCATCCTGGTAATAGGTGCACAGGTAAAACCTCTCAGGTGTTACAATAAGTACAAATGATGAGTATCTATGTGAAATATAATGTTAATTCTCAGAAATAACTGCTGGCATATTACAGCTACATAAAGCTGTGAAGGGAAAGATGTTGCTATTTCTAAGATTGCTTTGTCTGAATGTCATCACACCAAAAAGAAGAGATGTGCCTTCTGGAGAGACTGGGATGGAAACTCATAATCCCAACATGACATAAACAAAACCCCAGTCTGGCTTCCACAGATCTCACAGCTCCAATTAATTGCCAGCAGATAAAACCATGTAGCACCATTCCTTCCCACCATTAGGCAAAACACATTCCAGCTGAGGCCCCTCAGCATTAATGAAATCATGATCACCTGTCAATTCCCTGTCTTCAGCTTCCTCAGAATTTATTAAACACATCAGGTAAGGGTTATAGCTGTTATTCGCTGTCACCTTCAAGATGGTGTTTTGAAATTCTAAAAACAGAAATCTGAAAAAGAAGATGGGAATTTAAATCAGCTTCTCCTTCAAAAAAAAACAAGGTATATATTAGCGAGCGACCTGTCAGCTGTGGATGCTGTTCCTCAGCAGAGTAAATAAGAATCCCAGATGAAAGCCATCTCTCCTAAGTGGGTACCCCCCCAGTTTTATTCCATCACTTCTTTTTGCTGTTATTTCCCAAAGCTGTCATTCACTCTCAAAATAAGAAAACACACTTGAAAAGTTCACATCTATGTGATGGATGCATTATATAGATGGAAAGGCACACCTAAGGGAGACTGAGGATCAAAAATTAGAGAGTCATACCACAAAGAAAGGTTTTCCAAAGAGCCTACCACTGGTGGTGACACTCTTTCAGGACTCTGTTCCACTGTGCATTGAAACATGCCAACACACAAAATTTCCTGTAAGTCTGACTTTCAGCTCAAGGAGAAGTTTGCTCTTCTTCAATTTAACCCAGATTATACATTGTGTCCTAAATTACAGTGATTGCAGGCTTAGGTTGTTCCACTGGAAGAAAATTCCATACTTCTCATGCTGGAATGAGAATGGTGGTCAAAACCCATCAATAGTTACAATACCCAAAGCCCAAACTCACTGTGTGATCAAGCTGGTTGGGGACAGTGTGTGGTCACTCAGAGTCCAAGGCAGGGTCTTGTTGTAAAGGGTTTCTGCCACGACAGTGAAGTGATGAGCAACAAAATCAATCACACTGTTAAAACTAGTCTTGTTGGAGAGAAAAGCTGAGCTGGAACTTATATTGAACTCGTTTAGCAGGCCAGAGATGTTCAGCCCATTGAGAATGTAGAGGGTGGCTTCTGTGATTTCTAGAGCAGACAGATCGCTGGCAGAGTCACTTGCCACTGCTTCCATCAGCCTTGCAAGGGAAGCTCCTTCAGCTGGATTCCCTTTGGTGCTGAGGAGGCTGTTAAACACATCCCAGGCACTTGTGTAGTAACTGCCTTTGGTGAGGCTGAAGGCACCCTGGAGCCTCTGCAGCAAGTTGTGGAGCTCATCCTGTGCCACACTGGAGAGCGTGGTCAGGTTATTCCAGCCTGTTGCATTGTCAGAGAAATTCAGGGAGCTCAGCACTGTTTCGTTCAGCAGGGCAGAAAGGAGCATGTTCAAAAGCTGGGATGGGGACACATCACCCACATCCTGGGCTGGGATGGGGCATGAGGCATCACCCTGCACCAGCCCCTCTGTGGCTGCACTCAGAGCTCTCGCCTTCTCCTGGAGCCACGAGTTTCCCAGCTCAGAGACAAGGTTTAACTTGGAAAGGAAACTCAGAGACAAACGCAGAGCTTGGGTGAGGCACGACAGCTCCTTGAAAAAGCTTTCCCTGCTGCTGTTGTAGGCAGCAGCAAACTCTGGGGACAGTTTCAGGTTGCTCATGGCCAGCTGGAACACCCTGGTAAAGGTGTCATTGCTCCCTGTCCCACCCTCCACGCCCAAGGAATCCAAGAGGGGCTTGCAGGGGCTCCTGGCTGAGGACTCCCACAGAGTGGCATTTTCAAACAGCACCTCAAGGCCTACATTGAGCAGCTCTTCAAAGGAGCAGTTCTGGAGTGTCCTATAGCCATTGCTGCTGTGCTCAAGGAAAGGATCCAAGGCTAATCGCAAGAACTCCCAAATTTTTGCCTGTAGTGAGGTATTGTGCTGTGAGGGAGACTGGCTGAACTCCTGCAGCAGCAAATGTGAGAAATTGTAGACAATGTCCATTTTTTCCTCAAATGTTTTGTTTAAGTTGGTGTCATGAAGAACTTTCATTCCTGCTCCCCACATTTCCATCAGTCTCTGGGTATAGTTACTGTAAGAATCAAGTAACAGGCTGAGAGATTCAAGCTCACTTACGTTATACCTTTTCTGCAAACCTTTCAAAGTTAAGATACCCCTCTGCATGGCCTTCAAGTACATGGAGATGTTGTTTCCCCTGGAGTCATCTTCATCATACAGATCAAAGATGGAGGATGCATAGTTCAGCACCTGCTTCAGTTCCTTACTGAAAGGAAGACTGGAGTAATTTTCCATTGTATTTAGCAGATTTTGCAGCATGTCTAGAAGTGACTGGGCAGTGTGACTGTCTGTGCTATTCCAGTTCAATGACTGAAGACTGTCAGCAATGTGCCAGAAAGCATCAAGTTCATTTTCCTGCCTTCCATGAAGGAGTATTTGCATTAGCTGAGACAAAGAAGAGATCAGCAGATAATGATCACTGGTATTCACCTTTGCCATGGCACCAAGAAGCTGCTCAAGGGACAGAAGATGTTCCACAAAATTCTCAGAAGTTCCAGGAGTCAACAAGAAGTCAGAAAATAATGATGACACGTTTTCATTTGTGCTGAGATAATTTGCAATGTCTTCAAGAGAGATTGCATCGAGTGCAAGCATTTTGATAACCTCCCATGCATTCTCTGTATTAAAATTAGTCCTGTTTAAAATAATCTCATTCCAAATCACTGCAGCCATAGTGAGAACATCTTGATTTTCTTTTCCATAGGGATTAGAGTAGAACAGTCCTTCACCACCCCCATCATACAGAGGAAGTACTTCTTGAAGTATTCTTTCCAAGTCCAGTGTGCTGTCTGTGGCAGAAGTTGAATTGAGAAAGAGTTTTAAAGAATGATGCAAATCACTCAGATCTGAGGATTCAATTGCTTCAGTAGAATTATGAAAGATCTGAAGCATAAGTGCTTTTCCAGGAGCTACCCCAAAGTCCACGAGGATTAGAGCTTTCTTCATAATTTGCAGGAGTTCCACATATTCACCCACTTCTGTTAGGCTCCATTTGGAGGTCAGCAGGCTGCCAGTGGCATGCCACAGGCGGGAGAAATGTCCCCACTCAGGCTGGCTGGAAGCAGCTCTGCCCACCTGTAGCAGCTCGTAGAGACTGCTGTTCCTCATGGAAGCAGGTGGTGACAGGTGGGAAAACACAGGCAGCCCTTCCCAGGCTGCTGAGCTGGCTGAGGAATTCAGGGAGCTCAGCACTGTTTCGTTCAGCAGGGCAGAAAGGAGCATGTTCAAAAGCTGGGATGGGGACACATCACCCACATCCTGGGCTGGG